CTTACTGGAATGCCTTACAAAAATAGTCTCAAAAAAAAATTTCAGTGAATAGATGAATCCGGTTCAATCCCTCTTTTGCAGATGAAGAAACTAAAGCCAAAGGGAAGAAATAATTTATATACTCAATGACATAAATTTAACCAGTGGCACAGCCAGGACTAGAGACCAGAATTTCTGTGTCCTTATCCATTGTTCTTTTAGTACGTTTATTTTTGTTTCGTCATTTCCACTGTTGGCTAATGAACTATGAACTATATTCATCCCCATCCCCATAACTTTGTTCATGAGACCTCATACCTTCAATGTCCCAATGTCCTTTCTTCCTTCAGTCAAAATCCCCACCATCTAACAAGGAAGAGCAACTCCATGAAGTCATCCTTAACCGCTCTGGTACATCCATTTATCTCTTCTCTGAATTCCCAGTGCTTACTGAGTGAACCACAAATTTAGACTTATAATCACAAAGAGTTATAGGTTATTTCACAATGATTTAATGCTTATATCTTATTTCATTAATAAGTTTGTATGGTCCTCAGTGTAAGGAACCTTACTTTCAGTGCTTTTATATATGCCAGCATGTAACACTTAGGCTCATATGAGTGTATAAGAGATAAAGTGAGCATGTAATTTATCATTCAGATTGGCACACTTTGGACAGCCAAAGAAAGCATTATTAATATTTATGCAACAAGTGTAAACTGGGACTGTTTTTGACAAACTGGAATGTATGGTCACCCTAATAATAATTGACTTGCTCAGTATGTGTTAAATCCGAATCTTTCTATTGGTAATTGTACAGATGTCTGTTGTTGTTGTTATTAGGTGCTGTTGAGCCGGGTCCGACTCATAGCGACTCTGTGTACAACAGAATGAAACACAGCCTGGTCCTGCGCCATCCTCACAATCATTGCTATGCTTGAGCCCATTGCTGCCGCCCCACTGTCAGACCATCTCCTTGAGGGTGTTCCTCTCGTTTGCTGACCCTTTACTTTACCAAGCATGATGTCCTTCTCCAGGGACTGTGCCCTCCTGATAACACATCCAAAGTAAGGAGCATTCTGGCTGTACCTCTTCCAAGACAGATTTGTTCTGTACAAATGTCTAACTATGGGATATTGTTTACAATTTACCCTATTATACTGATTGGAATTATTTTTAAGATAATAATCACTGAAATAATTATGAAAAGTTGTGGAATGCTATTTACTAACTACTTATGTGTCATTTGTTTAAAAATTATCACGGATATTTCCACAAAGTATTCGTTTGTTGCCTTACTTTTTAAAGCTGCAAGGATAAATGTCATGTAAAACTTTTGTTGGTCCAGTTGTAATCACTCCAATATTGAAATTATGACTTAGAGTGGAAAAATTGTCATTGTTTTCAATTTCCTCCAGATAATAAAATATGAACTCTAATGGCTTTATAAGTAGGGGTAGGTGAAGTGGGGTGCTGTTAGGAGCTATAGATAAAAAGGCCTCAGATTTGAAGGTTAAAAATATTTGAATTTAAACATCTTATTCATAAAGTAGGAGCCCTAGTGGTGCAGTGGGTAAAGCACTCGGCTGCTAATAAAAAAGTCTGTGGTTCAAACCCAACAGCCACTCTGTGGTAGAAAGATGTGGCAGCCTGCTTCTGTAAAGATTTACAGCCTTGGAAACCCTATGGGCCCGTTCTATTCTGTTCTATAGGGTTGCTGTGAGTTGGAATCCACTGGAAGACAATGAGTTTGGTTTATTCGAAAAGTATGAAGGGAGACGTTAGTAACAGTTGTTGTTAGGTGCCATCGCGTTGATTCCGACTCATAGCCACCCTACGTACAACAGAAAGAAACACTGCCTGGTCCTGCGCCATCCTCACAATCGTTGTTATGCTTTGTTATGCTTGAACCCATTGTTACAGTCACTGTGTCAATCCATCTCATTGAGGGTCTTCCTCTTTTTTGCTGACCCTCTACTTTACCAAGCATGATGTCCTTCTCCAGGGACTGGATAACATGTCCAAAGTACATAACGGAGACAAGTAAAATCCATGATAAAATCATATAAAACTAACGACTGTCTAAAATTTTATAGCATTTACCCACCATCAAACTACAAATTTATAACTGAACATATTAACTTAATGAAATACAACTTTACTTAAATTTCTGTTAATAATCAAATAAGCTTCTTTTGGTACCATTTTCATGGTATAAATAATATATTTTTATGTTCAGATATTTAACAAGTTTCAGACATCCTAGGCAGAACAGGTCCATAGGTTCAATTTATTAATATTATTGCTAAATTAGAGGTTCAGTGATAAAAGTTGCCTACAGCAGAATTTTATGCACTTAAACAATGGTAGTTACACCATCTGCTCCAGATAGAAATCTGTCATCTCTATAGTAACGAAGGACAGATAGGCAATACAGACGCACCAACCTGGCAAGAGGGTAATTGTGACAAGGGAAGAAGCATTTCTGGGATAAATTGCTTTTTTTGTTGCTGTTGATTACCACATTCTATACTAAATAACACTTCATTCAACTATAAACTCACAGAAACAAACCCGTTGCCACTGAGTTGATTCCAACTTATAGCAACCCTATAGGACAGGGTAGAACTGCCCCATAGAGTTTCCAAGGAGTGGCTGGTGGATTCGAACTGCCAACCTTTATGGTTAGCAGCCATAGCACTTAATCACTACGCCACCAGGGTTTCCTCATTCAACTATAAGAAGATGTTAATCATGTAAAATTTATACCCTTTATTACAAAACTGTTTTATATTATGAGAGAATCTAAATAATCATGCTTTACCATCCTCAAAGCTTCAAATGAAATTGAAGCGCACCAGCAGGGGGAAGAAAAAAACCAAAAATAATTACAAGGGAAATAAAATAGCATGTTGCCCTCAGGATAAATGCTGAGAAAAGACATTATGTTGACAGATTCTCACCTACCCACATGGACCTGTAAGACAAACCCTAAGACTGTATTATTTTAAGAAACTAAGTTTTAAAAATCTGTTTAAAAGACTGCCTTTCCACATCTTGTTATCAGTGGAATACTTGTGTGTGTGGCTGGCTAGAGGTGTGTGGGATGTTCAAATAGCATTTATTCTGCATTAATTCAATGCAAGGAAAAAAATAATAAACTCCTGATCCTTATAACACTTTCAGTCACAAGGCTCAGTGGGTCATGTAGACACTCTGTCTTGCCATAGTTTTAAAGAAGTTTTTTTTTTTCCCCCCAAAATAAGGCAAATCTCTGGAACCTAAAGGCAAGGAGGTTTACATAAAGACACACACAAAACCAAACTGGTTGCCCGTGGGTCGGTTCCAACTCATAGCGACCCTATAGGACAGAGTAGAACTGCCCCATAGGGTTTCCAAGGAGTGGCTGGTGGATTCAAACTGCCCACCTTTTGGTTAGCAACCAAGCTCTTAACCAGTGCACCACCAGGGCTCCATCAAGACACAAGGTCTATATTTTTTCTACTCTCATTTCATATCATTCATATACTTGGCATTGAAATTCCTTTTATCTTTGGTTCAATAGTATCAGTAAAGGTGATAGTTGAAAGAACAATAATTTAAATCAAATACACTGAAATATTATATTAAAAAGTTTTTATAGTTTATCCTTCCCAAAAGTCAGGAAAAAAGTCTTTTTCTTTTTTTTTTTTTTTTACTGAGTTTTGTATTTCAATCAACAAGAATATATTTAGTTAAATATTTATTTTTCACTGATAGAGTTCATCTCAATTATCTGAAAATAGTAAATACAGAAAAATACTATAATGAGCTGCAAATTGTGTACATCATGTAACAATGTTGACCTAATTATTAGAACATAAGTATAACCTGGTGTCAGATCTATGAGCCCAATGTCCTCTCTGAAGAGAACCCTAAAGATTTTTTGGGAGGACAAGTTTATCATACGTAATGTTAACACAAAAATTTTGAAACCTTCCTTCAAAACGATTATTATTTAATATTATTATTTAATAACCTATCATAGATTCATGTTTCACAAATTAATCTTTTCTCAATTTTAAACGAGTTTTTAGCCTATATTTTATTTACCATGTAAAACCGTGCCTCATTTTATATGGTGCTAAAACTATGCTATTCAGTTTTTTAGGGTTTTCCTCTAGTTCTGGTGTTAAAAAAATTGATGACTGATTTCATTGATAATTTACATTAATTTCTCTATACACGATCATTTATTGAGCTTCTACATTATGCAAGGCACTGGGCTAGGTGCTGCAGTGCATAATAAAATGTATGAGAAGACACAGTCCCTGCTTTCAAAGAGGTTACAAATTAGCTAAGAAGATAATAAAATAAATGAATACTAAAAAATGGGAAATTGCCAAACTATGCAGTAGAGGGAGAGGTTAGTGGGGACTGAAATATTCAGGAAAGGTAACATGGAAGAAAGTAGGGACCAGGAATGGGTCTTGAAAAATGTAGCTGTATATTATAAGATTGAATTGGAAAGGGAATTTTGTCAACACTAGGTCTAAGTAGACTGTTATGTACAGGGAATAAAGAGGCTGGGGGAGGCTACTTTGTCAGAAAGCTAGTAGGAATGTGGGGCAAATAAAATACACAGGGCCAACATCTGCAAGATAATCACTATCCCATTTTCATTGCATCAAAAGGAGGAAACAATTTATTTCTCTTGTCCTACTAACATTTAACAAGCATTGTCTATTTGCTGGGGAATTTAAATGTGTTCATTTTGTCATGTAATCCGCATGACAACCTTAGATAATTCCAGTAGTGTCAACCTTGTTTTATGGAATAGGATACTGAGTCTAAGAGAGGTTAATATAAACTGCTATGAGTGACAGAGCTACTAATAATGTAATAATGATAATATTTATTGAGCACCTGTTTTTAGCCTAGTATGGATATAATCACCTTTATCTGGAAGTAGCAGTTACTGAACTGCTTGATTTGGCTCTCCAGCTCCTCATTTTTCTTAGACAGGATCACAGACCCAAGACATATGTACCCACCCGCATGCAGGAGTAGCCCACAGTGTGGCTTTCCCAGCTTTACGGTAGGATTTACTTTTGCACTGCTTGATGCCCAGTTGGTCAAGGGGGAGCCCAATGCGTCACTTGCCAGTGCTGTACACCGCAGAGCTGGGGCTGGGACCCTATGTTCCGGGCAGAGTAACCATCTTGGAGGAGATGGTGGGTAAGAGACCTGAAACATTGTAGGCTCCACTGCTTCATTCACTCAGCATGGCTACCTCACACATGGGTCAGCTTCAGGGGAAGGAAGTACATTTTTTAAATCAGGCATATCTAGGGTCATAATCCCAGCTCTGTTACTTACTAACTTTGAGGTCTTCGAAAATTCATAAGCTCTCTTGGCCTCTGTTTCCTCATATGTTAAATGGGATCACTAATAACTATTTCATTGACTGTTGTAAGAATTAGAAGAAATAACTTGCAGAGTCCAGTCCAGTACCTGACATTAGTTGGTGTTCAATAAATGATAGCTATTGTCATAACTAAACATCTCCTCACATGCCAATGGCAATTCTCTTTCTCTTTTTGCAAATTACTATTTGTGAGGAACTTGGTTAAACATATGAATTATCCCTTGTTTTTGTTTTTCCAATGAGAGGAGACTTATTTCCAAACTGTTGGTTAACCAGCTAGAATATAGATACTCCCTTCAATGTGAAGAACATTTGATGGCTAAAAATACAAAAAGATGGAAAGTATCATTGATATAAAATATCATATTAATTATATCAATATAATTAATACTATTAATTATAGATTTTAATATTTTACATTTCCTTTAGAAGACCATTCATTTATGAAGCTGTGGTCTCATCTAATTTATCATTTAGAAAAATACGTGTTTATTATTCCACAGTTTTGAAAAGCAATTGCAGTTGCCCAGAGTAATTGTTTTTTATTAAGTATGATTCCAAAAGCATAATCCTAAATAATAATAGTTTCAATATGTATGCACATCAAAATGCAATACTGTAGTAGAGATAATTCCACAAACAATACTTACGGAGTACCTACATGTGTTAGGGCCTGGATGAGGTATAAAAAGAAAAATAGACTGTTTAAAGAAATGGAAGAGATAATAATGGCAAATATGTATACAATCTATCCCAGTGTGTAAGCTTACTTCCTGAAAGCTTTCCCTCTGAAATACAGGCTTGGTTGATTCCTCCCTCTTTGCACATCCTCATTGCTTAGAGCACACTATTTGGCACTTTGTAACATTCTGCCTTTTTCTTTGCTTTAGGTCCATTAATCTTATCTCACCAATAAGATAGTGAGCAATCTGAGAGGTCAGAGATCTTGGCCAATAGTTACCTGTAACTCAAATAATACCCAGCATGGTGCTGATCACATAATAGCTCTCCATAATTATTTTGATTAATTAATCTAATCTTCAAGGGTGTATTATTCAGATACCTTAGCCCACTCATTCTTTACTATAACCTCCATAGACAAATACAAGAAGGAAAAAAAAGATGAAATTTAATTATCATCATTAACTATCAGTTCTGGACTCTTCTATCAGATGTTTACAGCAAATTGTGTGAAAACTTCCGAATAACTTACTTATAACTTCTGAATCCTTTCCCTGTGACAGGGGTATTTTGATATGCTCATTGTAGTATTTTTGCTTTTTAAATGCCAGGTTACACCTTTTTTAGTTTTAATGCAAACTTAATACATCGCTTATTAATATGAAGGGCCAAAAATAATGATCTTGGATTTATATAATTTTCCCCCCAAAATAAACTGAGGGCTTTATGTTCTCTGGGGTATGAGATCATAAAAAATAAAGAAGGCAGAGCCGCTGGATCCGTGTTCTGCCAACAACTACTACCCAGATTGTCACTGCCCTTCCCTAAGGGCTGTAGAAAACCTCACTATCCTTTTCTCTTCCTGTAATTCGGTGAATTTCCTTCTCACAGTTATAACTCTGCTGCAGGGATTCTCGATTAGCAAATTGTATGAGAGGAAGAAAAAAGAAATGATTTTTTGACAGAATGCAATGCCGGATAGCAATGGCACCAAAGAAAGCTGCCTGGGAACAGGTCGTGGATTATAATGTAGGGTACACAGAAACTAAATACAAATCACATTTTTTTTCCTTTTATTTCATTTGTTTTGGTGCCTTTCTTGGAAATCCGACATATAAATCAATCCCCTAAGAAGTGATGAACTTAACTCAACTTTTCCTAAAAGGTTGTCTAAGTACGTAAGATTCATTAAATAGATGATTCTTTTTTCAAAGTTGTGACATGGAAAAGCTTTGACCACACCAGAGTCCCAAACACCTGAAAACTGCCCTACCATGACATGACTCTGTAGCCACCTGGTGGTAGGGGATGTTTGTTGCAGGTATAATAATGAGAGTGCAATACCAAAATGTCAAATCTGTGTGACAAACATGAGAGATCCCGTCCCACTTTTCTAAATACCTAAAGGAGTTTCTCTTCTCCATGTTACTCTCAACTTATCTATCCAACCTTATCTCCTATTATTGAATATAACCCGTAAGGACACAGCCCCCATCAGCACTGCCACATTCAATGCTCAATGATCTTATAGTTTTCCCTAAGCTATTTGTTTCATGATAAGCTTTAAAGAAAAAAAAAATTTTTTTCTCATAGAATCTCTCTCTTAAAAAATGTACTTTCTAGCTCTGCCTTTATTTGATAAATTTGGAGAAGACCCTGAAAAATCAGGTTTCTTTAGCATGCTAGAGATACTCGGACACTTTTTTCCCCCCTTTTACTGTTAGACAATAACATAAAGATGTTTGTAAACTACAAAGTTGGCTTACTCTTAGGAGGCACAAAGAGTGCCAGAACTCATCAAAATGAATATTAAATGAAGAAAAGCACCAAGGAGCAAACAATGTAAGGAAGGTGTGCTGCATTTAATGTTAGTACATTAAGTACCAAAATCAATTCTAAATATAATTTTAAAAATAAAGTGCAATAAAGACTAATTCATTTGTGCTTTTATATCCAGGAAAACATAATGTGTTTTGTCAAAATGAATTTGCAGACAGGAGTAGATATCCAATTTCAAGTATATATCCAATTTATATTTACAGATATAAAAATAATAAATAATAGTGGAAATGAGTCATTCATTCACTCTTTCATCCGACATTTATCAAACGCATTTTTGAGAACTTCTGTGCTATCGACAAACATTGTTTCGACTATTAAAAGACAACTTTTGAACTGGGGTACAAATCAGTAAATTAGACTATTTCAATAGCATTATGAATAATACTATTTTATTAAATACTCAAATACTTAAGAAACCTCTAAGTCCTTATAGAAACAAATTATAGGAAGATAGCAAAAGAAGTAATGTATGGGGCAAAAAAAACTCAGAAACTTAGAAGTCTGCTGAGTATTTCAGCCATAATCTCTTAACTTCCTAATGCCAAGCACATAAACTAAAGACATTCTCTAGTCGAACATTGTTTTCTGAAGATAAACAGTCAAAGACACTTTTCACATAACTTCATTACCCAGGGGCATGCCAACAAATAGTTGAAAGTGTCACTATCCATTGTCCTGTTTGGCCTTATTTAAAAATAAAAAGCATCTTTCAAGAGAAAATGTATAGGGTTTTAACATCTACTGAGTAGTTTTTATATGCTAGAAACTTTGAGTGGGTTGTTTCATGCAATCACTCTGATAAGCTTACATTATACTGACTTCTATGTTATGGTTGAGAGTGCTTAGAGGAGTTATGTAAATGGCAATAATAATAACGTTAATAATAGCAAGAAAACAACAATAGCTAACATCTGTTTAGCATCTAGTATGTGTTACCAGTACCAGTTGCTGATGAATTGAATCTATCTCACGGCAACCCCATGTGTGTCAGAGTAGAATTGTACTCCATAGGGTTTTCAAGTTTGTGGCCTTTCAGAAGCACCTCGCCAGGCCTTTCTTCCAAGGCACTGCTAGGTGGGTTCGACCCACCCATTTTTCAGTTAGTAGTCAAGCACTTAACCATTTGTAGCATACAGGGACTCCTCTGAGATGCACTAGGTACTTAATATTACCAGATTTACACAATAGCAGTTTTTCTTAGGCAGGTCTATGGGGCTCAGGGGAACTTGGAAAACTTAAGCCCTCTAGGTCTCATATGTTAAGGGTGGGTAATAATAACCACTTTCATTTGGATGTTGTGAAAATTAAAGGAAATAATTTGTATAGTGCCCAGTGTACTGCTTGGCATTCTGGCATTAAATAGATGTTCAATAAATGATAGTTTATATCATAACTATATACAACATCTCTCAAGTCTATGATAATTCTATCTTTTCTCCCGCCTCCTCTATATATATGTATGTACGTGTGTGTGTGTGTGTGTGTGTGTGTGTGTACTCCCCTTGATATCCTGTTTTCAAAAATTACCATTCGGTAGGAAACCTGATCACAGGTCCTTTGAATGTTAAAATAAAATAACCTATCAGCTTACTACGTCTACATTCCTAACTTTAGTTAATAAATTCATGCTGTCTTTCCTCTCATGGCTAATCAGGATTTAAAACTCACCTAAAATTTTCTGACCAAAATTTATAGATAATTGTTTTCGATTTGGACAAAAGCTAGAGACAAATCTTTCCTGTGCCTTGGGAAGATAAGCTAGCATCCCCTCTGTTGTGGAAGACTGAAAACTCTCCTTTTGTTCTGCCTTCCTCTTTTTTTTTTTTTTTCCTTTTTGGCCCCTGAATTACGACTAAACCACTGCTGCTGGTAGGTTGATTCACTATTTTGGGGGCAATCTGGGCGAATAAATTAGGCTTCCAAACCTCTCTTTACTTATCTGTTTCAGGGTGGTAAAAAATCCCTAGTTTTTAAATTGTTGGGAGAATTTTTAAAAAATTCATGAAGTGTCTTGTATGTAATAAGTTCTCAGTAAATCTTAATTCACTTTCAACATTCCAATGAAACACACCTCCAAAACTAGACAGGTCATTTTGGGGTGGACAAGATGGGAAATGGAATTGGAGAATTGAAGGAAGAGAGTTACAAAAGTTTTGGGATTGTGTTAATTTTGTACTTGATATCCATTTTTCATAATTTCCAAATCTGTTTTTTTTTGTC